ATGATATATTTATATGTTAGATATACCTAGCCAAACGGCTGAAAAAAAGGCTAATTTTTTTTAGGAAAAAAAACATAGGCTCAAAATTTTGAACTTTTTATTCAGCTTGTTATTGATATTATTACTAGTATTATCATATTGATTATCAAGTACAAAATGATGGCAACGTAAAATGTGTACACTTACCTAATCTGCAGAGCGTCCTTAAACTTGTCAGAAGCTTCGTAGATTTGCCCTTTATCTCGGGCCATGCAACCTACAGGTCAAACAGTACAAATCTTAGATTTTTTCAAACACGTGCATTAACTTTTTAAAGTGAGAAAAAATATACATTAAACGTCAACATCTTTCTAATGAAATCATGGCCGAGTCACCATTAAAAATAATCGCCAAATGACGGAAATTAATGTAATTCGTTCGAAATTCCCCAATCAGAAATTGAGGCAAATAGGTCAAAGAGTTTCAGAGTTGTGGTAGGACATCCAAACAAACAAACAGACAGACAGACACCGACAGATATTATTACTTTATATATGAGTCGACACTTTACGGAAACAAACTTGAGACTTTTAATTGAAACTATTAAGGAACAGACTTAAGACTTTTAAGGAACAGATTTGAGACTTATAAGGAACAGATTTGAGACTTTAGGAACAGACTTGAGACTTTTAAAGAACAGACTTACTTATCGGAACATGATCAGTCAGACTAAAAACTTACTATAAAAAGCCTAAATTCTACCAACCTAATCTGAGATAGCAGTCTATATAGTTTGGATGATCTAGGAGAATTTCTTTATAAGTTTTCTCCGCGACATCGTGATGACAGAGTGTTTCATGTATCCGGGCTAAATTATATCTAAACGGAAAATAACTATTTATAACACTGTTATTTTGGACGGCAGTGTTATTAAGTTTTTAGACAGAAATTTTCTCTTTATCTCGAAGGTTCAAGCCTTTTTAGATTTAATTTCGTCTCTCGCTAAAGCTGGAGACAAAATAAAATTTAAAAAGGCGAGATATTAACACTATCAAAATAAATAAATACACAAAAATGGCACGTCAATTATATAACATCTAATATAAAGTATAAACTTTTAAAATGTACATATTAAAGAAAATCCCGAATATTAATGCTGGAAGATGATTATTTAAAAGAATGCGGGAACTTCATAGCAAAAAAATGCGCAAATACTGAAAGGTGTACTCAGCTGGGGTGATTTTTACTTTTAAACCCATAAGAAAATTGTGAAAATTTTAATCCAGCTCAGCTGGGAATATATGGGTTTCAGGATATGTTCACAATAGATTAAAAAAGGCCACCCAGGGCATAAAAAAGTTTATTAAACTAGATCAAAAATATTTTTATTTATATTCCAAAAATAAAGCTTATTTGGGGGAAAGAATGATGCCCAACCTGATAGTAATTGCAATCAGCTTATAATATCTCTCGTCCTCCTCGGACTCTAGGTTAGCGCGCTCGAGAGCCTCCTCAAAACATTTTAATGCATCCTACACAAATACAAGTAAACACCACAGTCCTTATCTACACTTCTTTCAGGGGTATATATTTTCTTGAAAAATTATTTCGCACCCCACTCACAATTTTGGAAATAATTTTTATTACCCCAGAAGTTATAACTACTGGGGCGGAGCGGAAAAAAAATTTTCACGGTTTTATTCGTTTGAATTTGGAAAAATAAAAATTATTGGGTAAAGAATAATGTCAAAAATGAATCAAAAAGATATCCTATTTTTCTTTCTTTCTCAAATCATCAAAAAGCATTTCAAAAATCTACACCACTGAGTTCTTTAGAGCACCATACTAAAGTAGGTTGATTTTTAAATTAAAAAGATCCTCAAATGCTTAAATTAAATCAAATCATACAGAGATTGGTTAAGGCATTATTTTCAGAGGCCAGAGTGTCAATTCTTACCCAAACTCCGGCTTTCAGCCCGATCTTTACCACTTTGATATTAGTTTTACCTAAACCGGATTTGAACAGAAAAATATAACTTTTAGTCTGTATAATAACTTTAAAAAGATTCTTACTAAAGCCACTGATTTACGTCTGTCTTTGTATAATTTTTTATTTTCAAAATTATTTGACTTAAGAATCTGACTACGGATACGCATCAAGTGGCAAAAAGTCAACCAAATAGTCATAAAATATTTTTGGTCTACGCAAAATCATAAAACAAGTGTGTATAAATAGTTCAGTGCTTAGGATCCGGATCCGTTGGATCCGCAACATTTTGGGATCCTGGATCCGGATCCACAAAAATATGCGGATCCACGGATCCGGATCCAAGGGGCAAAATTTCTATAAAACTGTAAAAAAAACTTTTTGCTGTTAAAATTATCTTTTTTTCTGAATGATTCTTCAAGTTTTATCCTGATATAAGCTTTTAATAAAAGATAATTTGAAATTCTACTTTAGCTAAAAAAAAATTAAGGAAATGAACTCATGACCTCGATCCGGATCCATTTCTTTTCAGGGCGAATCCAAAATGAAATATTCGAAGCAGTAAGAACTGATGGATATTTACATTTTTATATGGATCTGGTATCTTGTAAAATGGACGAAACAAAATCTGACCTCATTTTTTCCCAGGCGGTAGTACAGAGATCCAACATTGTTCAATATCTCTGGAGGAACATCAGCACCAATCTATACAAACAAAATATAATTAGAAATATGCTTAAAATAATTAAAAGAACCGTAGACGTAATTTCAAATGACCCACTGTTTATAAACTGAACTAATTGATTCTCATTTTAACCTTTGTAAGATTTTCAAATTTGTCTAACTAAAAGTGTGTTTTCATAGTAAAAGTTACTTAAGGTTGAGGGAAATTCTATGAATTCACATCATTTTTATCAAATTTAGGATAGGAAAAGGAAGATTTCTAACTTTTTAGAAGGTACCGTTGTGAATCAAACACGTCACTATTTCAAAAGAGTGTCCATTGAAATTAAAGTCCTAACTCATAATTAACGACTCTCTTAGGCATAGAGTAATAGCTAAGGAGAGAGAATAGGATTTGTTTCCCCTCTCTAAACTTATAACCAGCACTACGTCGCCTCTGTTTAAGGAATGGAATTCAACTATATAGATAAATATAATTGATTAAATATTTTTATTGTATGATTTCTACATTTTAATTTAGCCAGGACCGCTCTAATCATTGCTGGTTCTTATGAAATGAGGCCCGTTTGCAGCGATAAATACATGTTAAATTAAAATAAAACCAAATGAAACAAAAAAAATTCAGAAGAAAGCAAATAATCTACCAGTTTATAAAATTGATATCTTGTATCTAATTATTGTCCTTGAAAAAGTATTCGCAAAAATGAAACTGGGGTAAAGGCTGAATCCGAATAAAATTTGATTCGATCCCTCCTAATTTTACCTCCATCTGTAACGTCTATTTGGGAAAGTGGTTGAAAACACTATATGCTCAAGTCTACAAAACTTCATTTAGTTCACCACTCAAACTGTAAATCGTTATATATTTAGCCGAATTTAGTAAACTTATCATATGTATACCGGTTATAGCGAACATTCCCTTTAATTAACCTGGTGGTGCTTATTGCTTACCTTCTCTTTAAGTATATTAGTTGCTGTACTGTAACTCTTAAGACTCTCTGATATATCCAACTGTTCCAGGATCTGAGCGTATTCTATCCAGGCTTCTACATCTTCAGGGAACTGTTCTGTTACCTTCTTCAGATGACTGATAGCTATCCGCCTATAATCAATCAATCAATCAATCAATCAATCAATCAATCAACCAACCAACCAATCAATCAATCAAACTTAAACAAGTTAGATCAAACAAACAAAATTGGAGAAGATGCATCCACCAAAATAAAAAATCGAAAATTCAACATTTTGATCCCTAAAAAGCTAAAAAACAGACATATAACAAATAATTTGGAATTTAAAGATAATTAATTCTCCAACCTTTTCTCCTCGTTCACAACATTAGCGTAGAGTGAGCCAAGGATCTTCATTGTCTCATAGTTACCGGGCTGGGCCTTCAGAACCTTCTCGAAACACATGGCGGCGTTCTCCGTATCCCCCCTAGGATTATATTATAATTTATTGATCAATTGTAATTTAATCCTCTTTGGACCGAATCGGGAACACATGGGTAACCCGGGGGTGACATATGCTAAAAAATTATATTTTATTTGTCAAAATTCAAAATTTGGAAATTTTTTATTTAAGTTTTGTTTTTATTCCACAGACAATCTGGGTAATTCAGCTAGTATAATAATAGTATATATGACACGCACATAGGCTAAAAATGTTTATATTTAATACCAAGCGCGGGTAAACAGCGGAAGTGACAACGGTATAACAAATATGTTTCTCAACGCGGGGCACTCCAGCTATTTTAGAAATAAAAAAAAAGGTATTTATTAGGTCTCGATTGAATGATAAGGGGATAGAACAACTAGTTATAATGGAAATGGATAATATAGGCCCCGGACCAAATTAAATCATTCTTTGCAGTTCGATTCGTTCCCCCCCCCCCATGTAGGAAGGCAGGGATGTACACTGTACACTCTAAATAATTCTAGGGTGAAATTTTTTTTTGACTTTTTTTTTTTAAACATCAAAAGACAAGTTGCTTCACCCTTTCTGATACTTTCCACCCAAAATTTGTATATATTCCCTCTAAAAATCATTTAGTTTACTCAATTAAAGCGAGAGAGAAAATCTGTAGGGCGACCAGGGATGGGGGGGTCAGTTCTTGAAATTGCATACCCCCGAGCATTATTACAAACACGTCACCTGTAGATGTACATTTGTCCCAGACCAAACTGTGGAAGAACAAAGTTGGTAGCAGCAAACTGTGTTGCTTGATAATAATACTGGAATGCTTGGTCATAATCATGCTGAACATGGAAGCATCTAAAATAAATACAAATTAATTTTCAATTTTACACACGATCGAT